AGTAGAGTAGAGCAGAGTAGAGTAGAGTAGTAGTAGAGTAGAGTAGTAGTAGTAGAGCAAGAGTGGTAAAGCAAAGATTAAAAGTGTTTCCAAAGGCATTGTATGTAAAAAACCTTCTGGGTGCAGCCCCCCTACACTTATCTGAGCCCCATCTCGATCCTGCGATGTACCTAATAACAAGGTTGTGGTGTTACACATTCCATAATCAAGAGTAGTAGAGTAGAGTAGAGTAGCAGAATAGTATAGTAGAGTAGTAGATCAGAGTAGTAGAGTAGTAGAATAGAGTAGAGTAGTAGAGCAGAGTAGAGTAGTACAGTAATAGAGTAGAGTAGTAGAGTAGAGTAGTAGAGTAGAGTAGAGTAGAGAGTAGTAGAGTAGAGAGTAGAGTAGAGTAGAGTAGAGTAGAGTAGAGTAGAGTAGAGAGAGTAGTAGAGTAGAGTAGTAGAGTAGTAGTAGTAGAGTAGAGTAGTAGAGCAGTAGAGTAGAGTAGAGTAGAGTAGTAGTAGAGTAGAGTAGAGTACAGTAGAGTAGTAGAGTAGTAGAATAGTAGAGTAGTAGAATAGAGTAGAGTAGTAGAATAGAGTAGAGTAGTAGAGTAGAGAAGTGTAGAGTAGAGTAGTAGAGTAGTGTAGAATAGTAGTGTAGAGTAGTAGAGTAGAGTAGTGTAGAGTAGTAGAGTAGAGTAGAGTAGTGTAGAGTAGAGTAGAGTAGTGTAGAGTAGTAGAGTAGTGTAGAGTAGTAGAGTAGAGCAAGAGTGGTAAAGCAAAGATTTAAAGTGGTTCCAAAGGCATTGTATGCATGAAGGTAAAAAAAAACCTTCTGGGTGCAGCCCCCTACACTTATCTGAGCCCCATCTCGATCCTGCGATGCGCATGAGAGCAACGGCTCTCCCAGGTATCTCTATTCTCATTGGCTCTAACAGCAGAGGGAGCCTTTGGCTCCTGCTGCTGTCAATCACAGCCAGTGAGCCAATGAGGAGAGAGTGGGGGCAGGGCCGAGTCACGCTCTGTGTGTGAATGGATAATGTCCATTGTCATGGGAGCCAGCCTGCTTGAGTGCCCCCATAACTAGAGGCTTGACAGGGGGGAGGAGCCAGGACCACCAGCGGGGGACCCAAAAAGAAGAGGATCAGGAATGGTCTGTGGAAAACCAATACACAGAGCAGTCTCCAGACCTTAATCCAATTGAAAATCGGTGGAGGGAGCTGAAAGTTCGCGTTGCCAAACGTCAACCACCAAACAATAATGACTTGGAGAGGATCTGCCAAGAGGAGTGGGCCAAAATCCCTCCTGAGATGTGTGTGAACCTGGGGGCCAACTCCAGGAAACGTCTGGCCTCTGTGATTGCCAACAAGGGATTTGCCACCAAGTACTAAGTCATGTTTTGTGAAGGGGATCAAATCCTTATTTCCCTCATGAACATGCAGATCAGTCATCATTTGTTAGACGCATTTCTGCTGAATTTGTTGTTGGTATTCTGTCTCTCAGTGTTACAATACACCGAACATTCGATTTTTAGACCGATCATTTCTTTGTGAGGGTGTGAACATTCAAAATCAGTATGACTTATGAAAAATTAAAAAAGACAATAAAAATTTAAATTTACTTTTTCCGGCTCATTTAGAAGACTTTATATTATCTGCAAAATGTTTGATGAAATTGTGTCCACTGTCTCTAGAAGACCTGATGGTGGATGTTGCTGGATTTTCACCTATTAAAATATCAGACAATTCTCACCCGTGGTTACAATTGTTCAGCACGTCTTTATAAACAGTTTATATTGGCAGAATGGATCGATATTTACCCTGAAAGAAGATCGCAGACTATTCTGATCTCTCAGAAGTCGGCTCCGAGGCTTTTTTCCCCCTTCTTGTTTACTTCACTAATTGGAAGAAAAAGAGAGTCCTCTTCATCTTGGAGGGTTCACACGACTTCCATCAGGTTTTCATCCGACTTTCAGTGCGATTATGTAGTGCAACTTGGGTGCTACTAGTGGGTGATCTATTGTTGCTGGGGGTTGGTCTTATGTTGCAAGGGGAAAATCTCTGCTGGGAAGGATCTACTTTTGCTCACTGATAAGGGGTCTGTTGATACTGGCTGTTGGGAATCTATTGCTGCTGTGGTGGATCTACTGTCACTGGGGAGGTCTATTATCACTAGGGAGCCTATTGTCACTGGGGAGTCTATTGTCACTGGGGAGTCTATTGTCACTGAGGAGGTCTATTATCACTGGGGAACCCATTGTCACTGGGGAGGTCTATTGTCACTGGGGAACCCATTGTCACTGGGCAGGTCTATTGTCACTGGGGAACCCATTGTCACTGGGGAGGTCTATTGTCAATGGGGAGGTCCATTGTTGCTGGGGAGGTATACTGTTATACTGTTGGCTGCTGGGGGATCTGTTGTTTCTGGAGGGAATCTATGTTGGCAGGGGGTCTATTGTTTCTGGGGACATCTATTGTTGCTGGTGGGTGATCTATTGTTGCTGGGGTTATAGTATGTTGCAAGCGGAAAATCACTGCTGGGAGGGATCTACTTTGGCTCACTGCTGGATGGTCTGTTGATACTGGCTGTTGGGAGTCTATAGCTGCTGCAGTGGATACATTGTCCCTGGGGAGCGCATTGTCACTGGGGAGGTCTACTGTCACTGGGGAGGTCTATTGTCACTGGGGAGGCCTACTGTCACTGGGGAGGTCTACTGTCACTGGGAAGTCTATTGTCGCTGGGGAGGTCTATTGTCACTGGGGAGGTCTCTTGTTTCTGGGGACATCTATTGTTGCTGGTGGGGGATCTGTTGTTGCTGGGGGTTGGTCTTATGTACCAGGGGAAAAGAATTACTGGGAGGGATCTACATTTGCTCACTGCTAAGGGGTCTGTTGATACTGGCTGTTGGGAGTCCATTGCTGCTGTGGTAGATCCATTGTTGCTGGGAAGCCCATTGTCACTGGGGAGGTCTATTGTCACTGGGGAGTCTATTGTTTCTGGGGAGGTCTATTTTTGCTGGCTGCTGGGGGATCTGTTGTTTCTAGAGGGAATTTATGTTGGCAGGGGGTCTATTCCTTCTAGGGAGGTCTATTGTTGCTGGTGGGTGATCTGTTGTTGCTGGGGGTTGATCTTATGTACCAGGGGAAAATTATTGCTGGGAGGGATCTACTTTTGCTCACTGCTAAGGGGTCTGTTGATACTGGCTGTTGGGAATCTATTGCTGCTGTGGTGGATCTATTGTCACTGGGGAGGTCTATTGTCACTGGGGAGGTCTATTGTCAGTGGGGAGCCCATTGTCACTGGGGAGGTCTATTGTCAATGGGAAGTCTATTGTCACTGGGGAGCCCATTGTCACTGGGGAGGTCTATTGTCACTGGGGAGCCCATTGTCACTGGGGAGGTCTATTGTCACTGGGGAGCCCATTGTCACTGGGGAGGTCTATTGTCACTGGGGAGCCTATTGTCACTGGGGAGGTCCATTGTTGCTGGGGAGGTCTATTGTTGCTGGCTGCTGGGTGATCTGTTGTTTCAGGAGGGAATCTATGTGGCAGGGGGTCTATTGTTTCTGGGGACATCTATTGTTGCTGGTGGGGGATCTGTTGTCGCTGGGGGTTGGTCTTCTGTACCAGGGGAAAATCACTGCTGGGAGGGATCTTTTTCTCAGTGATGGATGGTCTGTAGGGAGTCTTTTGCTGCTGGGGAGGTCTATTGTCACTGGGGAGTCCACTGTAACTGGGAAGGTCTATTGTTGCTGGCTGCTAAAGGATCTGTTGTTTCTGGGGGGGAATCTATTTTGGCAGGGGGTCTATTGTTGCTGGGGGGGTCTGATGTTCCTAGCTACAGGGGATCTATTTTTCCGCCTTTCTTGTTATCATCAACAAAAAAAACATGCAAGTTACTTGGCACCACAAAGTGATACTTGGTTCTGTGTTCTCTAAAAGGGGCGGTACTGGGAGTTTGGTAGGGGGTGGAACCAAGGGATGGTGCTTGGACGTGGGTAGGGTCGGAAACAAAGGGTGACTTGGAGGTGGGGGAGTTCCTGTACCTATTCCCTGAGAAAAAAAGTCCTGTCCCAGATATTGTGTCTCTGTGATGCGACTGAAGCCATGCCGGTGAAGTGCAACAGCTATACCCTTCTTGTTGTGTGGACATTCCTTTCTTTAGAATATGAAGACGAATGGCAAGGGGTGTCGTGGGAAGGCTTCTGGCAAGGAGTTGGGCACAATATGGCGGAGGTTCAGGGCTCCAAGCAGGTAGGTTGTTGTTCTAGCAAGAAGAAGCGGGGACCAGTTGGCCCCAACGTTGACCAATCACAAGCTCCCTTACAGGCCCATACCAGAAATGTAAAAATGATCCCCGACCCGTGGGCAGGTGTGAGAGCTGAAGTGGTTAATATGCCAGCAATCCGGCAATTTGGAATTTTCTAATTAGGGTTTTACATTTCAACGCGGGAACCAAATCAAGACTTAATTAGAGGAAGAAAACTAAAAATAAAATGTCATTTTTTTTTAATCTCATTGTTTCGGTGAAAGTGAAATAAAAATAAATCCACAAAAAAAAAAAAAAAATGACAATTGCAAAAACAAAATATTTTTTGCTGGTTCAATGAAGAGAGGATACGAGAGTAGAAATAGAAATCTGCGGTTTTGCAGTCTGTCAGGATTGGAGCAAATTTCAAATAATTGTTTATTGGTGAATTGCAATGCAATCACCATCTGCCATCCATGTTGAAGTAATAGAATATTGGGGGGGTTTTGTTTTTCTTTCCTAAAAGTTCCCACGTTGGGATGTTGCTGCGTTGTTTTACTGAAATACAATCTGGATGTGTTTTTTACACTTCTTTACATTGCTGCTGTTTTGTATTTTCACAATCACTATATTGCCAAACGTATTGCCCCACCTCCCAATCATGTGATTCAAGTGAAAGTGAGAAAGAGAGAAAGAAAAAAAGAAAGAAAAAAAGAAAGATAATAGATAGATTATTTGATACAATTTTGCAGATAGATAGATACTGTAGATACACTATATTGCTAAACGTATTGGTCCTCGCCCCCCAAATCATGTGATTCAGGTGTTCCAATCCCCTCCATGGACACAGGTGTATACAATCAAGCCCCTAGGCATGCAGACTGCTTCTACAAACATTGGTGAAAGAACGGGTCGCTCTCAGGAGCTCAGTGACTCCAAGCGTGGTCCCGTGATAGGTGGCCACCTGGGCAATAAGTCCATCCGTGACATTTCCTGGCTACTAAATATTCCACGCTCAACTGTTAGTGGGATTATAACAAAGTGGAAGCAACTGGGAACAACAGCCACTCAGCCACCAAGTGGTAGGCCACGTCACATGACAGGGCGGGGTCAGCGCATGCTGAAGTGCACAGTGCGCAGAAGTCACCAACTGTCTGCAGAGTCAATAGCTAAAGACCTCCAAACTTGGTGTGGCCTTCAGATGAGCCCAACAACAGTGCGTAGAGAGCTTCATGGAATGGGTTTCCATGGCCGAGCAGCTGCATCCAAGCCTTACATCACCAAGTGCAATGCAAAGCGTCTGATGCCGAGGTGTAATGCATGCCGCCACTGGACTCTAGAGCTGTGGAGACGTATTCTCTGGAGTGACCAATCTGTCTGTCTGCAATCCGATGGACATGTGTGGGTTTGGCGGTGGCCAGGAGAAAGGTACTTGCCTGACTGCATTGTGCCAAGTGTAAAGTTTGGTGGAGGGGGGATTAAGGTATGGGGTTGTTTTTCAGGGGTTGGGCATGGGCCCCTAATTCCAGTGAATTGAACTCTTAAGGCGACATGTTGGACAATTTCATGCTCCCAACTTTGTGGGAAGAGTTTGGGGATGGCCCCTTCCTGTTTCAACATGACTGTGCACCAGTGCACAAAGCAAGGTCCATAAAGACATGGAGGAGCCAGTTTGGGGTGGAGGAACTTGACTGTCCTGCACAGAGTCCTGACCTCAACCCCATAGAACACCTTTGGGATGAATTAGAGCAGAGACTTGCAAGCCAGGCCTCCTCCCCCGACATCAGTGTCTGACCTGACAAATGTGCTTCTGGAAGAATGGTCCAACCTTCCCATAGACACCCTCCTAAACCTTGTGGAACGGCCTTCCCAGAAGAGTTGAAGCTGTTATAGCTGCAAAGGGCGGGGCCAACTCAATATTGAAACCTACGGACTAAGACTGGGGGGCCATTAAAGGTCATGTGTTGTGGAAAGGGCGGGGCCAACTCAATATTGAACCCTACGGACTAAGACTGGGGGGCCATTAAAGGTCATGTGCGTGGAAAGGGCGGGGCCAACTCAATATTGAACCCTACGTGACTAAGGCTGGGAGGCCATTAAAGGTCATGTGCCTGGGAAGGGCAGGCCGACCAATACTACGGGCAATATAGTGTATATTTATATATAGATTTGTAGGCACAAGTAGCCTTGTTGAGAGATAGTCAATTACAAGGGTAAGTCATCTGCAAAGAGACAAAATGAATGTAGCCAGGTGCTTGGCTAAGAATAGAGAGTGAGAGAAACACTGGCTGCAGCTGCTCCCTATAGCTGCTGCCGTGTGGTGCTGAACTGGCTAACAGATAGATCAGCCAGAGGAGGGAGCTGCTGAGTAGGAAGAGTTCCATAGACTGAGCCAGCTAGCACTGCACTGTGGGAACTGTAGTCCAGAGGAAAAAATCTACTGTAATCAAGAACTGAACTGCAATTGCCAGGAGGAAGGGGAAAGAGCTGCATTTTCTCAGGATGTACAGGACACAGATTATTTTTTCCATGAGGGAGACCAGTGTTCAGGGATTGCCAATCATCTGTAAATATACTGACAGTTTGTAAATATTGTCCGATTTACAAGCTACTGTATTGTCAGCGGATTGACTCGGGAGTGGGAGCACCGCCACCCGCCAGGACTGCTGGCAGTGGTACCATGGACAGAGAACACTCCTGCACTGATCACAGCCCTTGTTGCCACTGATTGCCTGCCTCGTGGTGCCTACTATACACTACTGCCTGCACTAGATGTGCTCTGGAAGACTGATGGGATTTTCTCCCTGGATCAGTGAGCTCTGACATAATTGCTGTCAACATTATTATTATTATTAATATTATTACTATCATCACTATTAATAGTGTACAAATCTTAATTAACTAGCATTGATAATAGCAGCACAAGAAAGATCTATATTATTATTATTATTATCATTATTATCATTAATAATAGTCTACATATAAAAAAAAAATACATATCTATAATACTGAAGTAGTATTTGATAATAGCAGCACAAGAAAGATCTATATTAAATGTTATATACTCCTTGCTGTGATAATAATAATAATTGCATTATTATTATTTCATCATCATTAATATAATTATTAATTATTATCATCACTATTAATAGTCTACATATAGAAAAAAAATACAAATCTAAAATACTGAACTAGTATTGATGATAGCAGCACAAGAAAGATCTATATTAAATTTTATATACTCCTTGCTGTGATGATAATATTAATACTACTACTACTACTAATAATAATAATAATCAATTATTATTATTATATTTTTTTATTTATTATTATTATTGCATTATTTTTTTATTATTATCATTATTATATTATCATTATTATTATTATTATTATTATTAAATATTATTATTATTATTATCATCATCACTATTAATAGTCTACATATAGAAACAAAAATCCAAATCTAAAATACTGAACTAGTATTGATGATGATAGCAGCACAAGAAAGATCTATATTAAATTTATATACTCCTTGCTGTGATGATAATATTACTACTACTACTACTACCAATAATCATAATAATAATAATAAAAATTATTATTATTATTTTTTTTTATTATTATTATTATTGCATTATCATTATTATTATTATCATTATTATTATTATTATTATTAATATTATTATTATTATTATCATTATCATCATCACTCTTAAATAGTCTACATATAGAAACAAAAATCCAAATCTAAAATACTGAACTAGTATTGATGATTAGCAGCACAAGAAAGATCTATATTAAATTTTATATATCCTTGCTGTGATAATAATAATAATAAATAATAATAATAATTGCATTATTATTATATTATTATCACTTTATTGTTATTCATCATCACTATTAATAGTCTACATATAGAAAAAAATACAAATCTATAATACTGAACCTAACATTGATAATAGCAGCACAAGAAAGACCTATATTAAATGTTATAAGATATCATTTGCTGTGATTGATAATTAATAATAATTTTTTTATTATCACTTTCATTATTATCTTTACAGTATTTATATAGCGCCAAAGGGTATGCTCAGCGCTCGTACATTAGTGGAGGGGGACAGAAACATGAGCAAGACAGTAAGAATACAATACACGAGGGGTTCGATGGCCCTGCTTTTCAAGCTTACAATCTAGGAGGGAGGGGATAGTGGCACAGGAGGAAATGGCTGTGGGGGGATGGAGTGGTAGGAGGAGTGTGAGCAGGAGAACGGTTGTTTTAGGTGAGGGCGGGGTAGGCTTCCCTGAAGAGATTGGGTTTTTAGGGTGCGCCTGAAGGTAAGGAGGGTTAGGTGACAGTTGATGGATTGGGGTAGGGAGTTCCAGAGGATGGGGGAAGTCCTGGAGAAGTCCTGCAGTCGGGAGTATGGGAGGAGGAGACCAGGGAGCTAGAGAGTAGGAGGTCCTGTGAGGAACGAAGGGCACGTGGTGGGGTGGGTATATTGGGTATCAGGTCAGTTATGTAGTTCGGGGCGGGACGTTGTGAATGGCTTTGTACGTCAGAGTTAGTAGTTTGAATTTGATGCGTTTTCAATCGGCAATCGGGAGCCAGTGGAGGGATTGCAGAGGGGGGAGGAGGCAGATGTGTGGTAGCGGTTGGTGAGGTGGATGAGTCTAGCCCAGCAATGGGAAAAACCCTACGGCCGCGGGCCGTATACGGCCCCATGGCGGACCTTTTAATCCGGCCCGCGGAGCTAGGCTCCCCAGTGTCTGCAAGGGCCAGGGGTCGGCAAGCGCGCGGCTCTTTACAAACTTAGATGCGGCTTCTCTGTTGCATGTGCCGGGCGCCCCGCTCCCCTCCCTCCTCTTCGGGCGGGGCGGGCGGCCGGCTCCTCTCCCCTCCCTCCTCTCCCTCCTCCTCGGATGGCCGCCGCCCCCCTCTCGGATGGCCGCCCTCCCTCCTCTCGGGAACGTCAGGACTCTGCAGCTGTCAGGATGTAGGCGGGGCAGCCAGGATGTAGGCGGGGCAGCGTGACGAACTCTTCTCCTCTCACAGTCTCCCTGAAGTTGGTCAGAACGGCGTCGGGAATAAATTGAGAGGAATACGCGCGGAGCAAAGGTAAGTGAATTGACACAGGGGGGACTTACTATATGGGGAATAAATTACTATATGGGGGACTTACTATATGGGGGATGAATTACTATATGGGGTTGATGAATTAATATGGGGGATGAATTCTATATGGAGGACTTACTATATGGGGAATGAATTACTATGGGGGATGTATTACTATATGGGGAATGAATTACTATATGGGGGACTTACTATATGGGGAATGAATTACTATATGGGGGGGACTTACTATATGGGGAATGAATTACTATATGGGGGACTCTACTATATGGGGGATGAATTACTATATGGGGGATGAATTACTATATGGGGGATGAATTAATATGGGGGATGAATTACTATGTGGGGGATGAATTACTATGTGGGGGATGAATTACTCTGGGGGATGGAATTACTATATGGGGGATGAATTACTATTATGGGGGATGAATTATCTATATGGGGGATGAATTGCTATATGGGGGATGAATTACTATGGGGACGAATTACTGTATGGGGGACGAATTACTATATGGGGGATGAATTACTATATGGGGGAATGAATTACTATGGGGGATGAATTACTATATGGGGGATTAATTACTATGCTTACTATGGGGGAATATTACTATACTTACTATGGATGACACATACACATCATTCATCTACTCTTTGGTCCGGCCCCCGGGTCCAATATATGAACCCATTGCGGCCCTCAAGTCAAAAAGTTTGCCCACCCCTGGTCTAGCCGCTGAGTTCAGGATAGACTGGAGCGGGGATAGCTTTTTTTTGGGTAGGCCGGTGAGGAGGGAGTTGCAGTAGTCCAGAAACGTGAGATAATAACGG